ATTATTAAAGAAGGCAAAAGCCGTGATCGCAGCAAAATCAAAAACTCCTAAAAAATCTTCAGCGTCTCCCGCGGTTACGGAAACATCACCTGTCTTCCGTTATCGTGGCAAAATGTAAATATATCCCATGGTCTCGAAGTTATGACCATTGTCTTCTGCGGTCGCGGAATCGTCGTAATCGTTTTCCGAGATCGCGGCCAAATCTTGAACATCTCCCGCAATCGTGTAGACATGACCTCAGATCATCACCTCTTAAAGCCAAACAAAATTCGCTAAATAATCCAATACTTTATTTTCCAATTTTTGATTGTGTGTTTCCAAAATCCCAGTCAAAATTGAAGAAAGTTGATAGGCACCAAAACTGGAAGACATGGAAATTATCTTGTTTATCATCAAGAAAAGACATGCACAGTAATATTTTATTTTACTGAGAAATCATGTGTTTTCTCGTGTTTAAGGTTGATCTTTCAACTCCACTAAGCTAAGGTCAGAGTCAAAGGAGATAGTGATCTCTTGATACCAAATTATTGATACACAGAACAAAAATGAATGTCAAATCTAGCCGAGTCAATGTCAGAATCTAACAGCTGTAATGTCATACAGTAGGCCTACTAGATGTCTACAGTGCTTCACATACAGGGTGATTTGTACTCAGTGTGACAAAATTTTTTTGATGTAAGTACAAAGTAAATGAAGTGTGATGATGCATATGAAATGTTCCAAGTCTCAAAATTAGCGTCCCAAAAAATTATTTTATGTTTTTCAAAAATAACCATGTTTTGAAACTTTATACAGCAATTTCTCAATTACCTGTATATGGATTTGAGTAGATAATGCAATTTTCGTGTTCTACATTAAATTTTGAACAAGAATAATGGAAAATGACGGAGGATCAGTTGTAAAAACTCCATTGTAAATAGATTCAAAGATAAAAATTAAGATATTTGATAAAAATGTTAAAAACAATGGTCTATTACATTTTTCACACCCTGTATACAAGAAAGTGTCGGAATATGTTAAAAACTGCGCCATTTTATAAGCTTTCCAACCATATGCTACACTATTGAGGTTTAGATATTTTTTGTTTGTTTTAGTGGTTTGAATACCAGAAAACAGGGAACTTTTTGCCGTTTTTACTGTTCAAGCTGAAACAAAAATACAACTTTTGCTTAATACATGCCGACTTTCTGTGTTTTAAATGTTAAAGACACCATGCTTTGTAGTATTCAAACCATTAAAGCGTACATAAGCAGACATAAACCTCAATAGTGTAGCATATCGTTGGAAAGCTTATAAAATGGCGCAGTTTTTAACATATTCCGACACTTTCTTGTATACAGGGTGTGAAAAATGCAATAGACCATTGTTTTTAAAATTTTTATCAAACATCTTAATTTTTATCTTTGAATCTAATTACAATGGAGTTTTTACAACTGATCCTCCGTCATTTTCAATTATTCTTGTTCAAAATTTAATGTAGAACACGAAAATTACATTATCTACTCAAATCCATATACAGGTAATTGAGAAATCGCTGTATTAAGTTTAAAAACATGGTTATTTTTGAAAAACATAAAATAATTTTTTGGGAAGCTAATTTTTAGACTTGGAACATTTGATATGCATCATCACACTTCATTTACTTTGTACTTACACCAAAAAAATTTTGTAACACTGAGTACAAATCACCCTGTATAGTATGAGGACACTTAATAGAATAATTGGGTTTTTTATCTTCTAATACAACTCAACAGTCAGTAGTCACTTAGTTTTATTTAGTTCGGCTCAATCTTCAATCAGTTAGCAGAGTCTAACTGTTCACATTGCAACGAAAACAGCTGTTTTCAATACATGCTTACTGGCCTAAAGTAGTTGTTTTACTCCCTAGGGAATAAAAAGCCTTTTTAGTCCCTATGGAGTAAAAGTCAGCTGTTTAAACTCAACTGTACACTTTGGTCGTAAGCAATCGGCCAATCGCATGTATCGAAATTATGTATCGATTGATTTAATCCATTGTAGCTTATTGTTGCATTCTTGTCAATAGTTCGGCTTAAAGATAGTATAATGTAACACAATCATACTAGATAAAATAACGTTATCCCTTGACGTAAGCAAAACGTACTAAACAACTGTTTGTATGCAATAGTATAATAATTGAAAACAAGTTAGACGTCGTTTTGAGAGGTTATCTTTATAGCAAAGTATTTTCGTTTACTTACTTAATTTGCTTGAATAATGTTGCAATATGACGAAAAAATTGTCCATCACACGGTCAAATAGTGTTTTTAATCCCCACTCATTATCTTAAAGACTTGGGCTCGGGTTGAAAAGAGTACTTTACGCCCTAGTGATGAAATATTGACTCAGACGAGCGTTACTGTTTGCGTAACATTTTTATTTGTGACGATTAATACCTAATCAGTGGAATAAATGACTACATAGTATTATTTTAAAATTCAATAATACATTATACAATGGCATTTTTGTATTCTTTCTAATGCACGTTCACCACAAAATACGAGAGGTGTTTCACAAACAAGAGGGGTTTCCCCGTTTCGCTTTCGCATAACTACTGGCCCTATATTGCAACGCATTTAGCTATGCGTACAAAATAATGGAAAACCTCCCATATTGTACATTTCCGTACATTGGATCATTTGGCACACTTTATTCACTTTTGAACAAGTGGTGGCCTGCTATGTCGAACACGTATACTGCTGGTTGAGTTGGCGCAATTTCTCGACCTAAATACAGTACAGTAAATGAGGTGATCAATTTTAATTATGAACTATTTGGAACAACGACATGCATTTGGGTACAAACATCGATGGCTTTGTTTTAAAAGTACAGAAACATAACTAATAATGTAAACAAATAATTTGAGAACACTAAAAGTAGCCTAAAATATTAAACCACGCCGTAAGGTACCGTTTTTTCAATAGTTTAATATAGAAAATGTGTGGTAAGAATCAAAAGGCCAACTAAATAAAAAGTAAACAAACAAAAATGAAAACAAATTAAACAGCTTACGCATATTATTGGCTCACAGATCTACGTCGACACGGTAAAGTAGTCAGGAAATTGAACGAAACACGTTCCTACCTTGTGGAAACTAACAAGAGAACCATTCGCCGAAACCGAAAGTTCTTAGTTCCTGCACCGTACTACGGAGGAGATGGTATTCTTTCAAACTGTTCATACATGGTCCTTAATCGTCCATGCAACTCACGTGATCGTCCAGGAGCTGGCACAGTTACCCATTACGGAAGGTTCATCAAGAAACCGAGGCGGTACTGAGATTCATAAAGATGTGGACATCTTGAGACGGGATGTTGTATTAAGTCTGTTATTTTTGTCATATTATTTATTTGTATTGAAGATGTTTAGTTGCCAGATTGTTTTTGTAAACATGGTTTAGTCTTGAAATAGAGTTTGTTGAAACAAAATGTGTGATTAACATTCTTGAATTAGAAATAGAACATTAAAATGTGGTTGAATACAACCATTTAATTAAGGTTTGTGCCCTTAGGAGGCACAAAATATTAATATTTTATGGGGAATTTCTGATCAAAACCTTGTATTCAAGTATGCGGTTGATAGGTGTGAGATTTGAAGTACTCTTAAAAGTTCGTGTTCTTTACTTACAATATATATGGATGTAAATAAAGTTATTTTAAGGACAACAAATTTAAACAGTTAAATAACAACAACAAAACAACTAACATGCGTTTGATAAGGGAAAATCATGGTTTTAGTCGATGACTCGAAAACAAAAAGCATTACGGATAACGATTAAATTTGAAAGGTACTTGGAATTGCTTTACCATTAAAATGAAAATTTGTTTGACATTTTTATGATGCTATTTAACATTTTTGATTTTTGACTACGTAGATTTTTTTTTTTAATTTGTAATTTATGGTTTTGTTATTTTGTTGTACTATTGCATACTAGCTGTTGCCGTCTAATTTGATGATTCATATACACATTAATCCTATAATATTCTATGAATAAATCCATTATAATAAACTCATGAAATCTTTGAACTTTTAATAAATCAATAAAAGATTCATGTCAGAACAGATTAACGTTTTTGAAAAAAAAAACTGTGTAAAAAGATTTAACCTGCAACAAAAACAATTGTTTTTGTCAGTGTCAAGTGTCAAATAATGTGTCAAATCAAATGTCGGGTCAGTGTCAAATAAAATCTATATAAAAGCTTAAAGTTATAGAAAAATCTAAAGTGGTGGGCTACAGTTCAAACACAGTGCCACAACAAGACTTCAACTAATATAATTATATTTTATTAAATTATTCGAACAAATGTTTTACAAATATTCAATTCATAGTAGCCTACAATGATATTTTTCTTCACAAAACAATTTCAAGAAAGCAATAGCCTATATATTTGGTATTACTCGATACGACAAAAAAAAAACTATTTAGAAAAGCGTTATATACTTTAATTACCTTTATCTTGCATACTTCACAATATACAACAATAATTAATCCGCAAAACATTTCTTATACTGTAATACATTCAAGAGTACATAAAAGTCCCAGATTACTTAACTCATTTAACCATGTTTTATAATTAGTGTAATTTATTATTCCATCTTATTGCATTTCTGTCTCTGTTTACTAGTCTTATAAAAAAGTGTAAACTGAAAAACACCCCAAATAAAGACATTTACGATATAAAATAATGAATTTATCCACTCTCTAGGCAATTGTATTTGTAGCTTTCCACAAAACCCGTTCAATTATGTTGTACAGAAAATTGGTTTAGCTCGTGCTTTTATTTCGAAATGACAATGGAGATAAGAGTTGGACTCGACCCTACCAACCTCAAGGTCAAAAGATAACTAAGACATGAACATGACTCATGATCCATCAAATAAAAATCTTATTTCACCCACAACAATCTTAAAACGTTCTACGCGATACGTTTGATCACAAATTTATTTATTCAATTTTTTATGCGATTTAAAACCGGTGAAATAAGTTGGTAAAGCCTCGGGGTAAATATTTGTTTATGGGGATATTTCGTAGGGGTAGGTTGCAACCCTGATAGTGTCCGCCTTATCACTCCATGGCTTCCTGCTTCTTCTAGTTCAGAAGTAAACTTCGACCGAGCCGTTTGTGATTTCAGCTACCGAATAATTTTCCAGGTGAGTGGTGAGTGTTTTAAATAAATATTTTGCCGGATAAGATGTTTAAATATAGGATAGTTTACCGGTTTTATAACTAAAGTAAAATTTTTGACTTAATTGTTTATAAAATATAGTTTGAACTTTCCAGAGCATTGTGGCCACATGTATCTTGTCTACTCTTGCTTCAGAAATAGTTTAGAGCAATTTTTAAGGTTTTATATTCCCACTATTTGATGTAGAATGGCTAAGAATGGTTGGTGTAAAAATTAAATTTATACAGTATCTTATTTAATTGGAAATCTTTGCAAAATTGACAGGTTTTAATTTACTAATTTCAAGCATAAATGTATAAATGTCATGATAAAAATTTATTTATCATTGTTTTATTATACAATTAGTAACACAAATTAGTACTTTTTAAGTATTTTGCTTTTTATTCGCTAATTTGAAGATTTGAACACGTTTTCAACTTCGTAGAGACAGGAAGTTTGTTTGTTCATGTTAAAATTTCATGACAAAACGTGCAGACAGTTTACACGTGCAAACTTTGTTTCAAGTTCAACATAGCTTTTCTATAGTTGCTTGTGACTGCAAATAGATAAAAAGTTGTTAAAAGTAGTTCAAAAGGATTTTATACGGCATCTTTAATTGTTAATAATTTGAAGCTATATTTTCTATTCATAACTATAGATGCAGATTTAATTATTTATATTTATATTTTTTGATACTTGATTTAAACTCAAAGTAACCACAATAGTTTTGTTAATATGTCCATGCAAATAAATCTTTAATAATTTTTTTTGTATAAAAGCTTTATAATTGTTAAATGATTTTGCCAGAAAAACCAAACATTTTTTGTGTTTTCTGTAGAATATGCGCTGAGTTAAAATTTAAAAAATATAATAGGGGTTTCCTTTCATTGATAGTAATTTAAAAATTGATCAAACTTTTTCATAAATCTCATCTCTACTGGGTGCATGAAGTTGTTTCAATATTTTAAAGTTTTTTAAACCAATCTTAATACCTACAGCAGCAAAGAATTTGTCATCAAGACAACTACTAATCAATTATAATTAGTAGTTTTTTTATATTGTTAACATGGTAGTATTGGTAGTATCATTTTGAAATGAAATTTGCGCAAGAATTAACAATTAAAAAATAATACGAGATTGTTTACACGTTGAACAAGATTTGTTCATATTTTTTTTCATCCATCTTTTTTTGAAAATAGCTCTTATTCATATGGATGAGCTTTACAAAAATAGTTGTTTTTCATTATCAAAACATACGATTTAGCCTTTCGTAAACATTACTTTTCCTGTCCCAAACAAACTTTTCCTAACCAAAGAAATAAAGTTTCCGTTTGGCTCAACTCAACAAGAGCACTAGCGAATGTATTATTTTATTACAGAAAATATCTGACAGCTGACTTTCAAATAAATTGTAAAACAATAATATGAAAGCTTGAAAAGAATCACTACAAAGTGGAATAATGTTTGATTTTTTTAATTAATTAAAACTAAGACGCTTTGTGTGATTTTTTCCATCGTGATGAACCAGTGTATCGCTCACTACTCGTCACAAAAGTTCCATTTCAAATCTTGGCTTTGCCCGCTCATTACCGAAAAACACCATATTGTCCCAAAATGAGACACTTTCAGGACTATAAGTGAAATATACTATTTCTTTCTAGATAGGGTCGCTTTAAGGAAGAGGTTTTAGGTTTTTCAGGGTGCAAGAAAAAGAAATTCCCCCACAAGGTAATTGAAGGGAGCACAATTATCTCCTGGACCCAAAGCATTGGGCCTGTATCTAGATGGATGTAAATAGTCAATATTTTGAATAAAAACTAAATTCCTTAACTGCAAAACCTCTTATTTTGCAGGTTTGCTGCAACTCTTTGAATTCATCTTCTTATTTTGATTTCAGAGGGTAAATCCATGTTGTTGATTTTAATACTTTGTTTGACTTCACTTTAAAGCAAATAATTCGAAAACAATAAGGAATTAAATATTTTAACCTATCATTATAGGCTCCCACTATCACATTAAAGACACCGTAGCGTTATTAAAAAAATATTTAATCAGACTTTTCTTTATTTTTTTTTTTTATTTCCATGTTTTCATATTTTTTAAACCGTTATCAGATTAATCATTGAAATACTCAAAACAAGTGAGTGTTTCACAATCTTGATGATTTACAATGTGAAAGTAGTGACCAGTTTTCTACTGATAAACCATGAGTTCTAACCTCTAGGTCTTCAGGATGACCTTGTGATAAGGGAATGCAGTCCATGATTTTTATATTTACACAGTTTTTGCATTTTCTTGTGATTATTTCATGCTAAATCATCATATAAGACAATTAATTCTATACTAACCTGTTACTGAATGTCATTGCTTTGAGTTGTTGGTGAAAAAGTGATACAACTTTATTCATAAAAAGTAAGCTCGTTCCTACTGTTAAAACACACATAAGAGTATATTTTGTTAAGCCATTATTCTGCAATAAGGACAGGCAATAAAACACCTAATATGACATAAATTTAAGTACTTAAAACTGAAAAATGTCCTTACACTAGTAGTAGTTCAGTTATTTTTTGACCCTCTGAAACCCAAGTATCAATTGTTGTGTGTTTTTAAACATTTATTATTTTAATTTATTTTATGCTTGTATTCAGAATTCCCTTTACACATCTCAATAGAAATAGAATCCTATCACATAGTTTTTGTTAAATATAAAGTACCTGCCAAGAAGTTGTTATAAATACCCCCGCCGCAGCAAACCTGCAGACTAAGCGAATTTCCATTAGCCTAATTGGATTTACACTAAAATGTCTCCTTAAAAATACCACATTTGTTCCTTATTTAAACAGAAATAGTTTAACGAGTTACTTAGTACTAGTTAACTTAGGTTTGCTGCAACAGGGAGGGTAAAAAGGTATTTATTGTAAAATGTAATAGTTTAGTATGAAATGAATGCATTTTCCAAATTTGATTAAAATATGTTCATAAACAAGCAAACAACAGTTTTCATTTTCTCCATAGGAATAACATGGGAATTTTAAATTGCACTGTTTTTGCATTTTCTCCGCGACCGTTAGGCATACAACAGCGCTCCAATATACTAAATTATTTGTTTTTTTAAGTTCTACAAAATGGTTTAGAAAAGAATTGTGAAATTTTGTGTTTTTAGGGTCAAAAATGGGAAAAACCTATTTTTACCCCATAAAACCCCCCATAAGCCCCTGTTCCCATAGTCCGATCATGCTGGTTCGCGCACTCATTCAAGTTTATCCCGCCTTACACCTTCAAACCAAATTTTATCAAAATCGGACAAAAATTACTCAAGTTATCGTGCGGATGGACACATATACAATATATCTATATATAGATATACAAAAATTTGAACGAATGGTGTTTTTGGCCTCTGGGGACATCAAAATGAAAAAGTAAATCGGTCCCTACGGTGATGAGACCTACGGTAATAGCTACTTCCCTATAGGGAAATTCGCTAAAACTTTAAAAGGGTTAAATCTAATTAAAGTGCATAATAACCATCCCTTAAAGTGTTTTTTTTTCTCCCATAAAAAATACATGGAGAGCAATCGTTTACGTATAAACCGAGTGAGACTATAGATAATTATGTGCTGATGCTTGATGGCAAATCTGTGCGTGCATACCTTCAATTTGAGACCTCAATAATGAAAATCGGTCGGGTAGAAGAGCCAAACGAACTCGGAAAAGAAAAACCAATTTTTTTTAATATATAAGATTAAATGAATCATTGAATAAGTAAAGTTATCCTATAAAATTACTCACTCAAATTACACACTCAAGTATAGCGGTTCTTGTGAAGAGTTACATGATCTGAGATCAAAGAGGAAAACTGGTTTCCGCTTGTCTGATTTAGTTGCAGTGTTACATAACTAAATCCATTGACATTTGTACTTTGCTTATTTGTATAGTATGAAGTTTTCCATGAACTAAATCTATGCACTCTGCTGCTCTTTTATTGCTTTTTTGCCAGGGATCATTGCAACTCCCCCACACTCATAAACATTTCTGATTGATAAAGTACTGCTAAGTTCAACTGTCTGGGTCAGAAAAAAATGGAATGTGCTGCAACTCTGCAGTGATAAATTCTATACAAGATATTTTTTTTAATACTACACTGAACAATGTACGTTTTAAAAATAATAGTTAGAATTTATTTAAGTGTTTGCATAGTTACCCATTTTTATTCATCGGATATCACATTGCCTGGATCTGCGGTTCTACCGAAAATAATAAATTAAACCTGTTGATCGATTCCGAGCAATTGCAAAGTCTTACATGCGTTATTTACGAATAACAGTAATAATTTCCGATGACCTAAAACATAACGGATCAATATAATCAACATTTCTTGTAAATATCTTATCATTTTTCAAAAGCTGGATCTTGTTTTTTTAGTGTTTTCTACAAGTATTTCCCACTCATTGGTTTTAGTGTTTTCTACAAATATTTCCCACTCATTAGTTTTAGTGTTTTCTACAATTATTTCACACTCATAGCCGCATTAGGTTGTCCATAATAACGATTATAATTTTTAAAAAACCATTATTTATATTTCTTCTACTTGGTGGTGTTCTATGACTTTCCTATGTTTCCATAGTTTGGAAATCGGCTCTTTCAATGATTGGTCAAGAAATGCAGCACAGTGTTAATTCAGTTTTCTTTTTAGTATATCAAATTGTCCAGGCTTTCTAGCTTTTTTCCATTGTAATATTTACAACAACCCAAATACAAATACAGTAGTAAATATTTCATTTCAACCAAGTCAGTAAATGTTTGTAGCACACGTTTCCTTAAATTGCAACTAAATATTAACAGCAATTAAATTATCGAGCTCATCATGTAAACAAATATGTTCTTCACAAAGATAGCATGGGAACTTTAAAGCAGGGACTTTTTCAAAAATGTAAGGTCAGTTTTGGCATATAATATGTGGGGTTAAATCTTAAAACAAAAAAGCGTTATTGTT